ATCTTTCTTTTCCCTAGTTACCCCTAATATGGATGTATTGAAAGTTTGATTAAAAAGGAGCTAAGGTTTATTTTTTGTTTGTTTTTATTAAAATAATCACATATTTCAAAATCTATATATTTCCATATATGACTAACAGCAACATGAGGAAAAATAAGATAAGAGCAAAGTTGATCTTAAATGTTATCATGAAAAAAAAAGACAAAACTCCCTTAGTATCTGCTGCCACTTTACAATGAGACACTATAACTGCACTAACTTGTGCAAAAACTAATGTGCAATTACTATTTAATACCCTGTGCAATAACCTGTTTTATATTTAATGCCCAGAGCAATAACTATTTATATAAATACCCATTTTTTACGGTATATACAGTATGTCCACACACACACAAATACATATATATACATACATACACACATATATATATATATATATATATATATATATATGTATATGGACGAACTGTATATACCCCATGCATGAGATCAGTAATGTCGGTCAATCAATCAATATCATTCTCATGATTAATCATGGGCTGTTTTTCCTCAGGAGAGAAGATGGAGCATAAATCAGGAGGGAAGAAATCTGCTACAGGTTGTGAAAGATTTCAACTTGGACCAGAGGTTGACTGTTCAGCTGATCAAAAACTAAGAATAAAGCTGGAGCATTGGAGATATGGTTTGACTTTAGGGTGGCATAGTTAAAGTCCAGATCTAAATCTGATCTGTTGTGTAATTTCCGAGGTTCTTACAGGATGCTTGGTCTCCGTTGGTGCGAGCAGCGATATCGTTCTTCATGTTGCGCTGCTTGGTTCCTGTTACCTCCTCCAGCTTCTTGATTTCGGACATACAAAGCTTAGGGTTGAAGTGGAAGAAGGTGCGGCCTCGCTCGATCGTCAGGTTGTGCTTGGACCAATCCCACAGCTGGCGGAGGTTCTGGTTGTCCAGTGCGTAAAAGGCGTAGTGACTGATGGAGAAATGCAGAGCAGACAGGGGATTGATCACAGAGTGAAAAAAGTAGAATTAAAAAAGCTCACCGAAATGAAAGGTGAAAGAAAGAGTACTTACTCTGAGTCAAATTGCTCTCCCTTTATAGTACGTAGTTTTCGCAAAAATGAGAGGGAGACCAACGCGTAGGCCCTCCGTATACTGAGGTAACCTTTGATGACCTCGATCTGTCCCAGGCTAGCTTCCAGCTCAGCCGCAATATTAGCTGTAAGAAGAGGGACAGTTGAGGATGCAGCCAGGCAGTGACAATTTTCCAAACTAGAACGTGTGGAGCCGTTACAGTAGGCTCAGCAGGGGGGGCAGCAGGTAAATCTACTTACTCCCTCCTCGGATCTTGATAACCATGTTGCCCTCAATGACAGTGCATCCTCTTAAGGCCTGGGCTGAAGTAACAGAGTCAATCGTCTTATTTCCCTGGCACGCTTTAGGACAGGGGCCTGCACAAGGTTCACAGGTCAACCTAAACAAAAAAAAAAAGCAGAGTTTCTACATTAGAGCTGAAAATGCAACGGAAATGTAGGCTTTTATTTAGGGGTGTCAGGAAAAGGGTGTTAAAACCTTCTAGACATTTGTTTTCCCTTTTTTCCCCCCACTACAATCATGCTGTATGTTTTGCTTCAACACATTAAATTACAGTAAAACACACAATAATTCAAGGTTGTATAGGAAAAAAAAAAACAGGTGGATATCAAAACAAATTCTCAAGCTGCTGGGAAAAAAAAAAATCAGATCACAATTCAAAAGTGAATGTTTCTCTTAAGCAATCAGATAATTGCCATAATGAGCCTATAAACTCACCATTTTACTCACTCTCGCTCACATCTGTTCCTCCTTGATGTTTATTTGCACCGAGGCGACCGATGCGAATGATCAAAGAGAGCATAATCACAGACAAACCCAAACAACGCAGCCGCAGCTCCCTAAAGGGGCTGCTTTGTCTCTGCTCGCACTGTGACGTCCTCTCCCGGCAAAGCGTGCGTTTCTGCACGAAATCATGCTCACATGCAGCAAAGAGGCCTTGATAGTGCCTCTTAGGAAATTCATTCACAAAAGCCACATCTAAAGAGAAGACCTGGTGCTTCATTCACAAACAAGCACTGCATCCTTGAAAATCCCCTCAATAGGATTTCTAAATCCATCTTTTTTATTCTATTTACTGCCAAAAAACGTTCCAACCAGAAGAGCTTTTCTTGGAACCTATATTAAAATGTCTCTCTAGGAGATAAAATTCAGAAAGATAATATTTATTTGAGATGTAATTAGATGGATAAGAGCTTGAAAGCTTTTTTTTATTTAATTTGATTTCACTCTAAAATCATAAAACTGACTGACATTTTCTATAGTTGACAAAGCATTTTTAAAGAGTTTATGCAGGCTAGCAGATTCCAAAACTTCTAACTGAATACAGTTGCATCAGGCAGAAGCCGGTGAAGTCACCTCTTTTAAAGCCCCTGCACATGGGGAACGAAGCGTACAAAGGGCCCTGTTGTTCATGGGGGGAACATGTAATCTATACATATGCTGCTGGTTGCAATCTCTTCATGCTTTAAATTCTGTTTATGAAACTCCCATTATAATCCTCTCTCCTGGACCGACTTTCCCCCTCTTACTGCTACGCTGTCCTCCCAGTGACATCTAGTATAAAGACATGAGAGCCTCCCAGTTTCAGCTCTGCTGTCCCGTGTTTGTAACCTTAAAACTCTTACAAAATTCCTACCGATCGAAAACCGACTCATTGTTTATCTTTATCATTTCGACAGAGCGGAAAGCCAGTAGTAATGAGCGCTTCAAAACAATGAATAATAAGACAAATTCAAGGATGTGTTGTCTTTCTGCGCCACCCACACAAGGGGAAGAAAAACATATATTCTGTCTCTCCAGCGTAACGCTCTAGTTGCAGCGCAGAAAAGGGAGAATGTTTTGGGCTGTTGTACCGAAAACACAGACACACAGGCAGACAGGCCGGGGCTCCAAGGGCAGCTCTTAAAGGGACAGTGTTTATCTGAACTCTGTGACTCGGACTCCGGGGTCTGTTGGAACCATCTAGAGTGGAGGCCTGCAGCTGACGCTCGGGTTTTGGTTTGGGCCCAACCCTGACAGAACCACACCAAATGTGAGAGTGTGTGCTCGCTGTCACGTTGTCCAAAAAAGGATGAGTAAAGTCGTTTCATACAGCAGAGAGAGGCATATGTGTAATGAGAGCAATAATTGTGGATGAATTTAAAAAATACATAAAACATATTCAACCTTATTGCAACACCTAAAACAAAGGTATAAAGTGGGCATCCCCAAATTCGGTCCTCGAGGGCTGTTGTTCTGCAGGTTTTAGAGGTTTCCCTGCTTTAGCACAGCTGATTCTGATGATTGCAGTTCAGCAAAAGCCTGTTAATCAGCAATCAATGAAAATCAGCTGTGCAGAAGCAGGGAAACCTTTAAAACCTGCAGGACAGCGACCGTCGAGGAGCGACTTTGCGGATGCCTATAAAGAATAAAATTATTCTATGTATTTAATAGAGTCTTAGAGAGACTCAGTTAAGACTTAAGAGTTGCAGCTACAACCTTAAACGTCATACCTTTTTACATGGATAAAAAACTAAGACAGTATAAGAAAAATATATGCAGAAAATTATGTACTAGGGCTGAAAGATTTAGCAAAACCTCAAAATTGCGATATTTTCAACCAATATTGCTATTGCGATTTCTCTTTGCACCAAGCATAACCATTTTAATGACTTACTCCAGGGTTTCAGTTTTTCTATGACCTTGAAAGCCTACTTGTCCAGAATCCAGTGCTGCTGGACTTTGCTTTACATAGAAAAGTTCTTATTTCTATTATAATGTATAGATCTAGGTGGTTTAAATGCATTACCGCCAACAAAGGAAGGAATTTAGTGTCTTACTCTTGTTGAATGTATGGTGACTAAAATTGAGTTAAAATTGCGATGTTAAAATTGTATTTTTGCTAAATTGCAATTATATTGCAAATGCAATTTATTGCTCAGTTGTTATATGCATGCAAATGTAAAACACAAAAATGAGAAGGATGCATGGATGGATGGACGGACGGAATGAGAGCAATCATGCAAATGTCTGATCAGGCCATCCATTATTGGTTGAGCATGGAATGAGACACACTGGCAGCCATCACATCCTGGATTATCACTTCTGTTTGACAGATCTAATAATGCTAAACAGCAGTTATAGTTAGGGGTTGTACCACCTGATTAAACTTGGGCTGATACGCTGACACTGATGCAACATATATCTTATCCATCTGTCTTATTTCTTTCTCTAAAGGTCTGAGAATCCCCCTCTGTCAACAATCAAAACTTTGGATTTACATTGTGGGAGTATTGAAATATTCAAGGTGTTTGTGATCTTTTACAAACTGACAGAGGAAGTTTAAAAACAAATCAATTAAAACCAGATTCTGTATATCAGGCTTTTTAAAGACTGGTGATTGGTCAGAAAGCTGTAACCGATCCACCTATGGTTGAAGTTGTTGTAGACCTTCTGAGTACAAAATAGGTCAGTACAATGTTCCATAATGGTTTGATTTTGTGACGGGCTATACCCCTGTAATGATGTTTGTTTATTATTTTAACCACAATATGAGGCTGTGACGTTGCAACAGGGTTGTGATGAAAAGGTCTCGCTTATCACATGTGTTCTACGTGTGCACACAAATAAAAAAGAAAAAAGTCTGCTGTGGAAAAGTTTCGGACACAAAGCGTCTGTTTCCGATATGAGACTGGTTCAGAATCAGCAGCTTCACAACATGATCAAACACGTTCCAAGGACCGGATGGAGGCAGAAAGGAGAGAAAAGTCTCCCACAGAGCCCTGTTCTCACTTCCATCATATGCTGAGAACCCTGATGCTCTGAGCCAGGAAAGCTGGTTCAATTTGAACCGTATGTTTCATTCTGAATGTAAAGCTGGGAAGTGTTTTCCATCTTTGTTTAACTGCTCAGACAATTTGCATGTACTGTTTTTGAAATGCTACAAGGCACATGGGTAATTGATCAAGAACCATGTCCATGTGGTCCAGTTTAATAGATGTGTGTACCGTTTATTACAATAGATTTTACTTGGAAAAAACTATTTAAATAATGGTCTGAATTTAGAGGATCATATCACTTAAGATCTTGTGTGGATATTCAGTTTTGGTGAACAATGTAATGCAAACCATAACTCACACTTGTCTAAATCAACTTTAAATACACAGGTCCTCATGACATGCATCATTGAGTGTTCAATATTAATACATGGAAGTAAGAATGTCTTCCGGCTTAATACAGTAGAGAAAAACATCATTATTTCAATTCTTAATAACACAAATAAAGAAATCTGCAATTTACTCATCTTAATGAAAGCAAAGCTTACAAAAATCCTTGCTGTCATTGTGCATTGGAGTATGTTCCTAAAACAGACTAAAATAAAGATGTAAAGAAATTGATTACTGCAAAGGTTCTATACTCGCCATAACTCTCCAGGTGTGAACCATGAGTGCAGATACCAGTTGAGTGTGCACGGGATCAAAACTGAATAATGGGAGGCAGCATTTTGGTTTGATCTTCCTGAAATCGGGAGCAATCTCCATGAGAACCTAAAATAAGCAGCGACTGTTGGTTTCTATTAAAATCAGGAATGAAAACATTGTTTAGCGTTGCCTTCCCAGACACTGATTTTAATAGCTTCTAGCATCTTATCTATTTGTTGTAAAGTATATTTTTAACCCATTACCTTTATCAAGCAAAACTTTCTTTTAAGTCTTTAGAAATTCCCCTCCAGTTTGATTTGACCCACTTTTCTTCCAGGGTTTGATTTTCTAATGAGATTCTCTAAATTTGATGGAATACTAAAAATTAATTTGTCTTTGATTCTGGTATCATTAATATAAAGTATACTGCCACCCACTGGTCATGTGTGGGTCTCTATGCTTTTCAAAATAAAAGTACTAATTACAGACGATGCCAAAAGGAAATGTGAGGCAGGGTTAATTCTCACTAATTTCATAGCTGACGTGTTGTTTAGCAATACACCATTCTAACCCAACCAAATGCAGAGCAGACACTGTCCCTGCAGCCCTACAGTAGGTGTGTAGCTCTGCTGTGCCTCTTATATTTGACCTATGCAGTGACCTAAAGGACGCAGAGGTCAACCTTTGAAGGGTATAGATTGGTGATATTTACTGTACTCACATGAAAGTCATATTTAAAATGTCTAAATATTTCACTTTTGGAAACATTAATTGAACAAATCTAAATGTAAAAAATGCAAACTACTGAAATATATAAAAGCCATAAAAAAAAATTTCTTCAGATTTTGCTTCAAAGACTAAAAGACTTTGTGCAAAACAAACCTGTTCATAACTTTTCCTATCGATCTGCAGTCTTCTTCTCCAGTTGGTGTTACTGTCGCCTCATGCGATAGCGCGCATTAATGATTTAGTCACATAAATATTTCATTCCTCCTGCTGGAAAGTATGTTATACTTGTTGCTCAAGCCTCATGTATGCATTTAGTGAGTGTGTAAACAGGAGTGGTTTCCAAAACACATACTTGGCTTCAAAACAAACACGCATCTCCCTAGTTTAGCAAGAGCCAGTGAGGCTACAGAAGTACGTCAGTGATTTTCCTCCACGATCCTTTACAACGAGCAAGAATGCCAAAAGAGGTCGTGCTCTTGATCATTGGCATGCAGCCGAAACTGTGAGCTGAAAAGGACCAGGTGTAGCAGATGTTGAGGCTGCTTTTGCGTTAGTGACACCTTCGCAGGAAGACGAGGGCCTCTCTATCCGGCTCTTTAACAGGAATCTTTCCCTCCATGTTCCACTTCTCTCACACATTCTACTGCAGTCGCTTTAAGCACAGGAACAAAACGTTACCGGTGGGGTAATACGTGTTTATGAAGCTCAAAATCCCCGTAATAAATCACATCATCTGAACCAACCTCATGAAACACCCAATCAGATCAAATAAACAGCTCATTGACAGATCATCAAAGCTTGTTCAATTTTACAACAAAAGCGTCCTTTCATCAAGAAGTAATGCTGCCATACCTACAGGTAATATTAAACTCATTACAAACCATGACTGATCCATTAGTCTGAAGTGTTTCAACATATATGATCTGCATACAAACATAGAAAAACACTGTTAATAAATGCGTTTAGTACGGTAGCTTATTGGTTATTTTTCGAGCTGAAAAAAGAAACATGATAAAAAAAATTATTTTATATAAAAAACACGCGTTAAGAAGTCTTCCAGTTAGTGTTGTGATGCCTTGACAGCACAGAGACTGTGTCTATCAGAAAATCAAATAACCTTTTCGTTACATTAGAAAACGAGTCGATGCTAGCCAAGCTGCTTTCCACACCAGTGACCTCTAAATGCGTTTTCCACATTTACCACTCAGTTAAGGTTTCCCCACAAGGTTCTGGTTTAGGTCCAGGTTTATTTTCACCCTTTCACAATTCCTTCAGGAGATACTGCAGTAAAAATAACAGCAATCTTCCAAGCTGTGCTGATAACACCACGTCTCATTTATCAATAAATCTCCTCATAACGGATTGACCAAATGCTTCACTTTTATTTTTTAACTCCATATTATTCTCAGACCCAAACAGTTTGATGATTCAGCAGCTAATCACATCTCTACTTTCAACAGTTTACCTTAAGACACTTCATGAATATTGGCAGAATTTACTAGTTTTTTTTTTTAGAAAAATCTTTTATTTATCATTAAAATAAGCAGTCTTCCTAATTGTCAACCATTCTGGTGATATATTTTACGTAAGGCCGTCCTACATTAGCTATCTTTTTCTGCGCACGCGCACTTTCAGGCATATATCTGTGGTGAGCTACAGTTTCAGACAGTCAATGAAGCTCACCTTTTTCACCATCGTACTTTAAAAATGGCCGAGGGTCATAGGGGAGTTGGGACAAAGAGTATGAGAAGAAAAGAAAGGCCTCAGAAGAGGTGTATATATCCCAGAATGCTTTCTCTGGAGAGCTCTTCTTGCAAAGCATTATGGGATTTGCTGTCACAGTGGCCCACTGTTGCCATAGACTGTTGCTACCCGACAGCGGCGACTAATAACAAAGATGGTGCAGGCCTCGAGCAGTAGAGGAGTTACGTGACCAACGGAGCAAAAAGTTTTGGTCATCCGTCTGAACGGTCAGTTAAATGAGTTCACTATAAAGTCCACTATATAGTGATTGAGGGATTTAGGGGTTAGGGTGGACGTTTGGGCACAGTAACTTTGTATGAGCTATGAGAACAGCTTCTTTTAAACAGAGCGCGCACAAGTAGAAATCGGCTCTTGCATGCTCTCACACATGAATATTTTATAAGTGTAGAGGGCGGGTTTTTTTAGAAAATTCGAAAATCCTTCACAATACCGTTAATAAAAGGTCATCATCAGTTCCAGTCTTTCCCCTTTATAACAAATGATCATGCATTTTGTGAATTTTCAACAGCTTAAAGGAAAAGTCCGGTCATATTCAGAATTCAAACTTCTGAAAGCACTTTAAATACGAATACCTGCTTAAAAAAATGAAAGGCCGAAGTTCTAAATATGCATAAAAGCCATAACAAAAATGAAACTGTTATTTCACTGTTTTCAGAAAAATTATTATGAATGGGAGTCAATGGCAAAAAATGAATGCAGATGTACTGCAAAAGTAAATAGAAATAAGTCGAAATGCAGCTCATTAGATAAAGACTGAACATTTGAACCAGTGAAAACAGAATAAACTGAAACCTCTGGAAAAAATAGGGGATGTTATTTGTAGTGGATCAATTAGGAGAACATCCTGAGACATAAATCCATGAACAGAAACTCCATATTGGGTGATCTCAGTCTAATACTACGGTTTGTTAAGTCAAATGGTATGCAGTGTATTTTGTGACTCATAAAACTGAACTTTTAGCTGGAATGTGACTACTTTGAGACATTCCCTTTGATAGGAGCAGCTCTGTTCTAACAGGTTACCAAAGCCACATGAGGTGCTTGTTTGTTTTCATCATTAACCAAACTCCAGCCTGAATACAACCATTAGTTTTCTTGATGGGGAGAACTGAATGATTAAATTCCTAGAAAGAAGAGAAAATTAAGTCTTTACTCAAGTAGAAGATCTCTCTACTCAGCGGCGTATTTGCACATTTGTCCACAAATATTATGGTGTTCTTAAACCACCACAAATTTGTTTTCTCTTGTGTTGATGGTGGCTTGTTTGTATGTGTGTCACTGGTGACCCAGACTTACGTAGAGGAATTGCTGCTGTATCCAGAAGGACACTCCTGAATGCAGGTTCCGTTGTGGATGACGTACTCATGGCAGCTGGCATCCACATCTTTAGATTTCTTGCACTGATAATGGAGGTCCTGCATATCAAGCAGAAGGAGACAAGAAAAAAAAAAAAGGAATGAGCCCACCTAATCCATATTTATGGTGATAAGGATGTTTGGATTGTTAAAGTGTTGATAGTGTAAAGACAAAGTCAAAGTGGGTTTGTTATTGTAAGATAGCCACGCTCTGCGATCCCAAAGCATGACACCTACAGCTCTATGCTTCACGGTATGACCTTCTTTTCTTCAATTGGCGTCTCAACTGTCTGCAACATTTCTAATCACAGTTAACACTGTTGAGTGTTTTCCTGATTGTACAGGCATATACTTTCATACCAACCATAACAACAGTTAGCTGCAGGTCCAGTGTTCACATATAGGGGTTTGGAGACTTCTTGAAGAATCTTGTGTCCTGCTTTAAGTTTTGCAGTAAATCTGAGGCCCATCAATTATTCCAAACAGCACGTCAACCAACGGGGGGGATTTCTGCCTTTTCCTTTTTTTTTTTTTTTTTTTTTTTTTTACATGATTTTGCTGTTAAAGGTTAAGTGTAGAAAAGCTTGCCCCTTCATCAAGGTGTCAGCGCTCTGCAGAGAAACCACTTTTCCTTTTATTAAAAATGTATAATTCCTCCTTTACCACTCATCAGCCGTCAAACGCAGACTTTTCCATATGAACCCATGGCCTGTATGTTTCATGTGCCACCCTGCTCCAGAGCACCTCACTGTAATGAATATCTTATGAACAGACTTCTACTGCACTTGATGGCCCACTGCTACTTATTCCCCAGCTTAAAGTTGATGTTTCAGAGCAATGCCTTTACGATTTAAAGACTAATTATCTAGAAACCTTAAGGTATTGGAGCAACAACAAGGTCTGGGTGGGAATGTTAAGGTAAGCACAAAACCAATAACATTGGAGGATTTTAGAGACATCTTTCATTATCAATCAACCTGCTTTCAGAGTAAACTTACTTGGACGGCTGGTTTCCCATGTTGCCGGTTGTTTGGAACATTTTCCACCTTTTTACAGCAGGAAGGCTGATTTAAAACTCCTTTGAGGTCTCTATTAACCCCTTACTGGTCTCATAAGCTGCTACAATCTTCATCTGAAGGTCTCAGAGAGTTCTTCTGTTTCTATCCTGGTGTTCACTCTCACTTCACACTAAAATAAATGTCAAGGCTTCAAACAGAACGCAGATGAACTATTTTATTATTGCGTGCAGTTGATACGATACGGCTTTCTGCAGAAAATGCAGGGTCGCCAAATTTCAGCACCATCCAGTTACAGTGTGTTTTTTCTATTTATATCTTTTTAATGCTTGACGCACTTATTTTGAAACAAGAGGCCGAATACAACTCAAGCTGCCCCGTTGCATAGGATATCAGTCGACTATTAAATTCTCACCAGTTCAGAAACAAACAAAAAACTGTTGCGTAAAAAAAAAAAAAAAGAAGTGTTGAAGAAGGAAGTTAGCGGGCGGAAAAAAAGAGACGGTTTCATAGGTGGGGGACAAGATACAAATCATTTGTAAATTCTGTGGGAAAACAGCAGCTGACTGTTAGCAGCTAACGGCGCTAAAGTTAGCATCTGCCTTAGAGATTCAAAACTAAAGGGCTATTTCATATAATTGAACACTTGAAACCTATATAACATTTTTTCTATAAGATTTGTGGAAACTTAAATAATTTTGTCACTATGCAGGATTTAAACTTTGCCTTTTAAAGCCAAGTATCATATTTGATCATCAGTGTGATGTTTTTGTTCTTGAAACCCTGACTTACATAATCAAACACATGTAGTGAACAGAAAACATATGAAAGATGATATAGAAATGCGTAATATATCAAAAGTGATGCAAATAAATGATGTAATTTAATGTTTTTACAAAATTTCTATAGTTATTTCATTTGTCACAAAGTTCAATGACAATTCTAATTTTGGAAAATTAGAATCTTCTGTCAATTATTTCCTGGTTCAGGCTTTAAAGGGTTAAAATAGGGTAGGCATTTACAACTTAAAGGTGGGCTAGTCTACCCTGGACCAGGGTATGCCACAATATAAATAATTTTATACACCAGTAGCTCACTCAGGTTACATGCAAAAAGGACTTTAATTTAATTATCCCACTCTGCTGGCTCCATATATCATATTTTTGTGTTTTACATTAGTTTTTTGTTTCTGTTAGTAAACAAAGCACTATTAACACCAAGTGACCGGAGGCAATATTTTGTGTGATGAGTAAAAGAGTGATGGAGTCGAGTGAATCAGCAACTCACTCAGAAAAGAAGAAGTCTAAGATCAAGTGTGACAAAACACAAAAATTAGAAATCTTCTTTTTAATTTCAAGTTGTTTTATATTTTCAGTGATTAACTATTTCCATCAGAGGTCCAACAAATTGAATTCCTCCGACAGGTAAAGAACCAACTTCTGATGAGAGCTAAACAACTGGACTTCAAACATATCATCTTAATAATGTGATTTTGGTTATAGAAATGTACGAACCTGGCAGAAAGAGAAGCTGACGCAGCGCCAGCCTTGGAAGACGTAGTATCCAGGAGGGCATTTGTCCACACACACATTTCCATGCTGGAGGTTCCTGCAGGCCACACAGCTGGTGGCGTTTCCCGGCTCCAAACAGCCCCCCAGGCACTGGTCGTGGCAGCACTGGCCCTTATTGCTGCACGCGCCGTTTTTACAGTTATCGCATGCTGAGGGAAAGAAGACAAGAGGAAGAAGATGGTTAATACTGAGCCGCATAGTAAGATCTACATCATGTTTATTGTAGCTTGGGGAAACTGTCGGAGAAACAGATGCCTGTTTTATACTTGGGTGATTAAAAAAATATCTTAAGCCCACCTCTTAGAAATGCCACAGATCTTTGGCAATGAGCTACAATAAAAGCTCTCATTGACTCATATTCACTCATCTAACTTCATTAACAGAGCTTCCATATCTGAGCAGGACTTCAGAAGTAAAACGTTGCTCACTGAACTGTTAAAATGGGAGCTGGCTCAGAGCTCGTCTGCCTGGCTGTGTGTTTCCTGGACGGGGCCGCCTTTTACAGCCTCTTTTTGTATCTCTGCTTCTGTCTCCTTGAACCCCAGTCGGCCTCAGCAGATGGCCCCTCACACTGAGCCTGGTTCTGCTGGAGGTTTCTTCCTGTTAAAAGGGAGTTTTTCCTCTCCACTGTCACTACAAGCATGCTTAGTGTGAGGAATTGCCTTTGAGTCAATGAGTCGATACAATCAACTGGTTTTACTTAGATATAAAACTTTTAATCAATTTGACTGTATGATCTGGTGAACTGTAAAGTGCCTTGATGACTTGTTTAGTGAATTGGCGCTACATAAATAAACTGAATTGAATTGAATTAAAATCTCCCAGGCATCATATTGGGCCTTATGTTAAATAGTACAGAAGCTCAGTATTCAGAGATAAAAACAAAACAAAACCAACAGAAATGCTGCAGCTATAAACGGCTTGAAAGATTTAACCGCACCAACACTGCTGCCGTTTTGGCTTTCACAGAGAGATTTAGTGACCACAGTTTACATTCGATAGTCAACAGCAGCAGTCTGCTGCAGCGCCATGGAAACAACCTGAATAGCCTGAAAGCCTGAAGATTATGTGTTGCTGGTTAATGTCAGCTTTTATTTCACCAAAGAGAAATTGGTCTGAGAGGCTGATTGTTAAATCATCTGACATAAGTGGTGTATCCTTCGCTTCTGGGAGACCACTCCGCTTTTTCAAATATATGTTTTGATAAAAAAAAAAAAAAAAAAAAAATGCAAGGTGCATGCAAACAGACCTAATTTGAACAATCCTCTCGCAGATAACACTCCAAAAAACTGTGGCGTGCGTTTCATATCAGCTTAGTGGGCTGTAGTTTTGGTGGAAATCTCTAAAAGCTTTGCCTGTTCTTTAATAAATAAATAAAATTCCCACCTGAGCTCTAGATCTCTGCAGCATCACCAGCTTTATCATAACCCTCTAGATTGTCTCTCCGAAAATTTTCATATTTGCAGAAGTGCTACTGACCGAAGTTTCCAAAATTCAAGGGGTATGAAAACTTTTGCAAATGGATGTAGATTAGTCAATCTAAGACTGAGAATACAAGGAGGAATATCAAAACAACCATCTACGTATTTGAAAGCAAAACTATTTTAATAAAAACAACAAAAATGGCTGTAGGATGTTTTCCTCCAAAAAAAAAAACAAAACTATTTTGTTCTCATCTCCAGCTGAGCTTCCTTCCAGGACTGTGTGTTAATCACCGTCTCTCACATGACACCACCAGCCTTGATGTCATGTAGCAACAGAACCAGAGCATGTCAGCAGAAAGCAGAGCTGGGTCAAACAGAAATTAGGCATCGTTTTTTGTTTTTTTTTAAGACGCTGATACATTTAAACGTTCCCTTTCATAGAGCAATTAAATCTTTTTATAGTTTAAGGAGAATTATAACAGCCGTCATGAAGAAGTGAAAATAGCAGCAGGTGCCACTGTTTGTGAGGACTTCACGTGATCCTTCAGTCCCTAAGATATGGTGAGGACCCCCTCTCTCTGCATTGGAAGGCTGCCCATTGTACTGCCTGCATAAAGAAGCGAGTGGGGCTGTTGCAGGCGGGGTGGGGGAGCAGAGTGGTGGGGTAATAAGGGTAAAGAAGAGCACAGATGAGGAGAGGGAAAATGTGGGAGAAGAAAACCCACCATGTTGAGTCTTTGGGGTAGTTCATGCAGGGGTCGCTCCTCCACTATTCGTTTACTATGAGCTGTAAATCCGACAGAGTGCTTTGCACAGAAAAAAAAAATAGATATGTATTGCTCCCTCAGCTCCCTCTCTGCCCTCCCCCTCTCTCATCTGTCGGTGGTTTTGTGTGCTTACGTGCTGCAACCACAGTGTCATGTAACAGAGCGGGGAGGGGCCTTCCCCCTTACGGCTCCGGATCCAGGATCCATGCCGGAAATCCACTCCAGCTCCAGATCCACCCTCAGCTTCAGCCAATGTGTTTGCTGGCTGGGGGAGGCAACTGCTCTGTGGCCTCTTCCATGTTGGGGGAAGAGAGCCGCCCAGGTTTAACCCTGGTCCTGCTGGGGCAGACGGGCGGGGGGACAGACGCAGCTAAGGAGCCAAACATGTCAGGAAAGATAAATCCACAGTCGGTGCTTCAGAGGATCAGCAGGAAAGAAAAAAAAACAACTTCAAGATGCTCTTATATGTAAAACTTAAAACGGTTCAATTCTACTGAAATTCAATTTCATTTTTTTTGCAGGTTTTGTTGCTGGTATTCCTTTTATTTTTACTTAATTATAGAAAATGTCAGAGAGTTGCAGCACGTCAGATGATATGTTTATTCTTTCCATACCAGATTATTATTATTATTCTTTTGTCACATTATTTCAATGGACACAGTTGTTCTTTATAAACCATCAAGTGCTGCAAATTCTGCCAGAGCTCCTAAGACCCTTTTAATATAATTTTATGGATATTTAATAAGGATTATTTTATTTCAACTGATATAAAAGGCAGCAATGATGAAATAACGGATTATTCATATAGAAGCCCAAACTTTAAATGTCCTTCTCTTTTCCCTGCAGATTTCAGAGCTTCATTTTAAGATTAAGAAACCTATTTATGAATGATAAAAACAGTCGGTGACTGAAAGGGACGCACATCATTGCCACCCTGATCTGTATGTGAATGATCCTGCAACTACTTTTCATTACGATGTCACAACCACTCTTTGTGAATCACTAAAAAACGATCCATCAAGTGTGAACACGTATGGCATTAAAAGTCCATTCAGAATGCGAAAAAACAAAAAACAAACATAGTTTTGAAACATGGCCCCTAAACTCTAAGATCCTATAAACGACATCAATTCAGTCCTGTGGAAGCTGCACATAAAAACACACCGATATCCAGATTTAATATTTTAGCAGTGACAGTTATCCCTATTTTGGAATTAGATCAACATATACATTCACTGTGCTTCAGTTAAACTACCCCTCCCCCCGAAACCACAAAGGCTTCAAAACACCTTCTGGCAATATGATCATATTTGATTAAAGTTCTTGCAGAACTGGTATGAAACAACATGATGTCATGTTTTTATTTAGATGCTAACGTTCTTGCCATTTCATTGGCTAACTTTTTGTGGTTTCAAAAAGAAAGAAAGCTGCATTTCAAATAATGTCAATCCTGATGCATTGGGAAGTTGTTGGTGTTTCTGCTTTAAGGTTATCATAACAACCCGGGCTTAATAATGCCAATACTGCTGCAGGATTATTCCCAATTCTGCTCACGGTTACATCAGGCTACACAAGCCAGCTGCTGTGCCAAACATGCTCCAGTCAGCTCACTCGTTCATTCATCCCCTCCTCCTCTTCCTCACCACCGCCTCACCCTGCACCACTATCTGCTGCTCTATCTCCTTGCCTTTCTAGGCCACGCAGCCCCTCCCACTTTCATTCATACACCGCCTTGTTTGTTTTCATGCAGGCTGGCAGGATAAAGGAGGGAGAGAAGTATGGATGGATAGCTGGACGCAGGGGATATTTCTGTTGTGCCTCAACAACAGGAGGAGGAGGCAGCAGTTGTAGCATCCTGGATAGATTCTCATTTTTTAAGCTAAATACATGCTAAAGCTCAGTGTGTCATTTCATAATATGCTCACCTTTTCCCCTACAAACACACACAGTCTGTTCCAGGAAGGGCTTTGAACGTAAAGTCCGATCAAAGGTGTGCTGTGTTTACCTTTCATTTGACCGTGTTCTCTACCAGAGGAAGGAATGTGGGAGAAGCCAGTCAGCCAATCGCACGCTGTTATACACGGCAACACTTCCTGCTCTGAAGGCATAAAACTTCCACATTAATTGGCAACGTCGTCTAAAGGTAAAACTGCCTGGAACAATAACAAACTGCCCCCCCCTTTTTCTTATTACCCAAGAGTCGTTTACTCAGGAGAACACATGCATGTACACGTTCATCCAACATTCACCCCACCCCCCTCCTCAATTGCCTTAAAAAAAAAAAAACAAACAAAGAAAACATACACACAGACAGCTGGATTCACCATTTACTATATTTGGCCCCGATGGATTTCGAAAGATTTGCTGTAAATGCTTGCAGTGATCTGAGGTAAGACATTTGCCCCGAGACAGTTGAGGAGAGACACAGAGGAGTGTAAACAGAAACACACGGATCACCAGGAGGCGGAGAGCGATACCATCAGGAACACCTTTATGATGCAAACATGAATCAACAGATGCACACGCACGCTTAGGCAGAGGACTCTGTGTCACCTTTGATGGGAAACACACCAACACCTGAAGTACATAGATTAGGTCCAATCTAAAGGAATTGGCCAAAGAACATAAACATAACATACAGATGGCTTGCATTTTAAAGAAAAACTTACATTATCTACTTTCTAACAACATAGTGACTTTTTTTTTTTTTTAGGTCACATCTAGGGCTACGTTCACTCTGCAGCCTAAAGTGACCCAAATCTGATTTTTTTGCCCACATGCGACCTGGATCTGATCTTTTCATGGCTATCTTAACAACACAGATCCAATTTTACCTATCTGATTCAGGCCACTTGGCTATGTTCTCCTAAATGCGATACGAATCTGATCTTTGCAAACGCGACCTGTGTCTGAACGGCTAGGTCGCATTCATCCGACCTGAATGCCATAAGTAACCGA